GAGACAAAGAGACAGAAAGCGAGAAATCACTCCCCGGGGGAATGGCCACATCACAATCCCTTCTCCTCTATTCTTATCTCAGGATCTTGGGCACGCAGGGCACGTGCCCTGTGTGAGTTTAAGCCACTGGGTCCTGGACTCGAACCACAGTCAACTACATGGGAGTCCAATGACATAGCCGTTACTCCAACTGCTGGTCCCAATTGGTCAGACTCTTTACCAGCTGGACTAAACATACCTTCATTCCTGAAGGGTCTTAAACCTCATTAGTCCTGCCTTTTTCTGGTTGCTGTGGTTTTTCACTAACCTTTAAATGGGACTTGGAAGTACTAAGAGACAATACATGTTTAACTGGAGCCATGGCCCTGGTCAAAGCTTTCTGCAATTCACTCTGCCTCTGGAAATTCTCTCCTTTCACATCCTGCTCTGCTACTTATCACTCACTCTGGTAGTTGTCCTCTTCTTTCCACCTGGTATTGTCACAAAGTGGGAACCCAGGCCCTTATCTTAATTTCCTAAATTGATACAGCACCAGTTTTTCACCAGTAATAGAAATTTACTGAGGTTAAAAAGAAATGTGTGTTTCATCAATTCCACAATAGAACATATGAAAGTACAATAATAAGTTCCCCTCCTCTTAAAAGTCCTCCAGCCATCTGTATGTCTTCACATTTTTGGATGACCAACACTTCTGGTCCGATAATCCAGATACCCCACAATAATCTAGTGGCCACCATCAACCTCTGGTCCCTCAGTAGACACAAATTCAAGTCGTATAAAATAACCCTCCCTTAGTTCTGCACAATAGTTCAGCCCTCAGTCCCTTTCATACACAAACAATCTAAAAATCCCATGAAAGTCTTTAAAACCAAAAAAAAAAAAAAAAAATTACATCCCATAGTTAAATTCAGCCCATCCCAAAGCAAATCAAATAGCACTCAAACTTTTTTTTGTAAAGACAGTCTCACTGACATGATCCTCCTAGCTAAGGCTCCCGAGTCTCTGGGGTTACAGGCGAGCACCACCACATCCGGCCCTCAGGTTG